CCGGCGGGGAGGATCCATTTGGGACTTTTCTTGGTCTGAAAAGCAGAAAATGGGGGTCACAAGGTGGAGAGAGAACCCCTTGGGACCTCCACAATTTTAAGACCCACATTATTGTTCCTCCCTAAATGAAGTACTCCTTGTTTCACTCCCCAGTTTAGCATCTCCTAAACACCTCCCCCATATTTTCACTCCCCTCTTTCCCCTCCCATCTGAAGCCCCCTCATTTCCCTCATTCCAAGGAGCCCCTTTTACCCCTCCTTTTTATTCCCTCCCCCCCAAATTCCTCTCAGTATGGAGTTCCTCAGAATCCTCCCACTCAACCCTTTAATTTCCCCACCATGTTGGAGTTCCCTCAAATTGAACTCCCCCTTCCCAGTTTAAGGACGACCCTCCCACCCCGCCAGGGTTTCCCTCCCCAGGATTTTTTGCAGTACCCTGATTTTTGTGCCCCCTCCCCACATTTTTAGGGACCCTTCCAGCTCCCAATCCCCGTACCCGGGTGGGGCCAGGTCTCTSCAGCCCTGATTTGAAGTCGAAGTTGCTCAGGTCATGCCCGGGGCCCAGGAACCGCCGTAGCTCAATCTTACTGCGGAACTTCTGCCCTGTGGGGCTGCCAGGAATCTCGGGTCAGAGGGGGCCTAAATCAGGGAGGGGAGCCAAAAACCCGAAGAGGGGATGGCTGACCCTGAGGGAGCCCCCGAATACCAAGGGAAAACAGTGGGAGGAATGGGAAGGGATGGCCCTAAAATCAGGGGAAACCTTATACAGCTCAGGGCACCCCAAAGCTCCCCCTGTGATCTCAAAAAGGCCCCACCGAGCCCCAAAATGGCCTGGGCTGGGGCTGGAAAAATTGGAGGGGAGTGGAGATATTTGGAAGTGCAATGCTGCGGGGAAGGGACTGGGATTGGGGAACAGTGAAGTGGCCCCAGAAGGCTCCTGGAGAGGGTGATGGTAGAGGGGCCCTGAAATTCCCCCTTGAGACACCACCGGGGGGTGGGGGGGCTTAGGAGGAAGCCCCCAAACTGGCAGGGAATGGGGTCTAGGACGGGATAAGGGGAAGGACAGAACTCGCCCCACCCGCAGTCCATGGTCCCCTTTGGGGGCGGGGGGCGGGAGGGGGTGTTGGGAGAAGGGGAGGGCAGCAGGGGGAAATTGAGGCTGGGAGAGGGGCACCTCCTGTAGTAGGTGTCGCTGCGRCCGCTGGTGGCCCCGGATTTCCGAAAAGCTTCGCGGCGCTGCCACCCCGGGCCCAACGCCGGGCACTCGGTCCAGCCCTCCGCCATCCTGCGGGGCGACTGAAAATCCGGGATGGGGAGGGGTCAGCAACAGCCCCGAACCCCAAAATATCCCCACCCCCCTTCCACGGAGCCCGGGCCGCGCCCCCAAACACAGCCAGACCACGCCCCCTCCCCACGTGACCCCATCGCCCCCTCCCCCACACCGAGGCCCCCTCCCCCACACAAACACAGCGCCAAATCCGCCCCTCCCCCGCACAAACACA